CCCCTTGCCCTGGCAGTTCACTCAGTTCTTGCACTTGCTGTCTGCTACAGGCTCTCTGTTCAAGAGGGGACTCCCTCACTTTCTTTGCCCCTACTAGACTCTACACCCTTTGTACCTATTGTTGATTACCTGGGTCCTGGTCTCTGAGGGTATGCCTGTGCTGCAATTAGACACCCATTGCTGGTCCACTTCTGTTTGTGGTCGATTGGATTGTGGGGGCTATTTAATTACAGTGTAGCCTTCTGGGCTGAGTTTGGAGCCCAAGCTCTAGACCCTGTGAGGTGGAATAGGCATAGTCACTGGCCACATGAAACTGCCCCCTCCAGCCCTGGGAAGGGCCAGGACAACTCCCTGGGCCCTGCCCCTTCCGCACCCCTGCTTTGCTACCACCCAACCTCTTTCCTCCACAAGGGGACTAGCAGGACTTGGAGGGCAGTGTCTGCAGCTGAGGTCTGCCTTCACCCCTGCATTTACCAGCAGTGGTGGGGCAGGCAGGGAGCCCAGACTTTCTGCTAGGCTCCTTGCCCCTCCCGTCCATGGCATTTGGGAGCACACATACCCCTCCCCTCCCCCTTGTGCATTGCCTGTCGCTCTTGGTGTTTCACCTAACCCGTGTTAATGAGACCAGTTAAGTTAGGGTCGATGTTGCTTACTCACAACAGCTGATGAGGTGGTGTGAATACCGAGAGGGAAAATTGCCTCTGTAGTAAGAGAACCAATCTAAATCCTTATTCAGTCCTAATTGCATTGTATTGAATTTGCAAATGAATTGCAGTTCTATTTCCCTTTGTAATCTGGTTTTGAAGTTCTTTGTAGAAGGGTGGATTAAGATTTAAAGTTGTGCACTTTTACTACTTTTGAGATGCAGGAGAATTTGGGGCTTGTATACACAGAAATGTAATGCATGACAAAGTAGGGTGTGCATGCACAGCACACTTGTCACCCTATGGACCCTTCTAGCATGCATTAAACGTTCCAGTGTCTCTTTTGATATACAGAGGTAGCAGAATCCACACAACCAGTTACTGTATAACAACCTAGAGTTCTATAAATGTGCACCATGGCTTGCCTGTGCTATCTGTCTGAGTAGACAAGCCCAGTGATTATGTTATTGATTCAAGTGTAAAAAGAGGTTATTGGTTTTT